GTGTAAAAATTTTGTTTGTACTTTTTCATTTTTATAACTTAAGGCTTTAGGTTCTTTGTTTTCATTCGCTTTGCCTTAGCCTTTTCAATATTATCCAAATATATTTCAGTCTAATTCATCACTGGAAGAGGATGATAGAGACTTGGTTGCAATGTCTGCAGTTTGTCTGTCCTGATTTGAATACTCCCAATTGTTCTGAGAATAATTTCACTTTTAATGAAAGTTCATAGGTGGCTTTCTTTGCCTTTTTAATTTTTCCGTCATCCAACAAAATTCGGTGATTTGAATCTACATATATTGAACCCAGCAAGTTCTCATTGTCTAGCAAACTAGTTGCTCTTTTCTTCATTGAAGAAATGATTCCTTCTGCAGTAAGCCCTCCATTTCCGAAAGAACAAACATCACATTCGTCTCTTCTCGCCCCCTGTTAATTCTTCAGATTGTAGCTTTTTTGTGGTTATATATGGTATGGGGGGATAATTGAAAACATTGGTGTAGAAAGAGTTTCCAGTTCTGCAAGATCATTCCACAGTTTTTCTGTTGGTAAAACATTAGGGTTATCTACATCTTCTAAAGAAGTTTCTAATTCTGACAACCTCTGTATCATCAAATATGTACTTCCCCATTGCATTACGTGATCAAAAATTGCTCCTTTTCCTGTTTGCTTCCTAACAATGGCGTCAATTTTTTGGGAGTTTTTGTTGCTGCTTACCTAAATTTATCAGTGAGATTTGTAACTAAATTAATGAGTTTAATCAATAATGGCAAATATCACATCCATCATCCTCTCTTATTATTTCCTTGTCCTAAATAAAAAGGAGGTATTGTAATCGCGAAAAGTTTCGGGCATCATATTTCAACAAAAATAGCCATTTTGACCACTATCGAATGCAATTTAACGATGTTTTTACGTGACATCTGTACGTAAGGACAGAATAAAAGACTCTTTTCCTCCCAAAAAATTATAAAACTGATTTAAAATGAATTCTGAAAAGAATTTTTCATGCTGTATGTACACACGTATCTATCTTGCATAACTCAAAAACAAGTAACCTCAGAACGTTGAAATTTTGTATACTGACTGCTATAACATGTAGATGTGCAAGCTTGTATTTTGGTTGCAATGGGCCACACCAAAAGTATATAAATATATATATATTCACTCTGTTACCCGGCTCAGTGATCTTAGTTTATTTTCCTATACATTTGTAAATTGTTCATTTTTTGCTATAAAAATGATTGAATTATGTTCTTATCTTCTGGTTAAGGTTTTTATGCCTTTAGTAAATCTGCATGCAATATTTATAGAGTTATCAACAATTTAAAAGTTCTTTCAGTGCAGCAATTGGAAATTAAAATAGAATTGCCATCGGAAAATGGCAATTTTACTTTTAATATAAGACCATATATTAAACCGGGACTCGTCGGGACCAGGACTATATTACCAGGACTCGTCGGGACTCGATGCATTTGTGTTGCTGTGTATGACGATGTTGTGATATTTAATGCCTTGTAACAATTCAGTATCTGACTCATGTTTTGTATCTTGTCATAAATTTTCTTTCAAGGTAGGAAACTATCTACAGGATTTTTTTTTTTTTTTTTTTTAAAGCTCTCAATACTCAGAGAGCTCTGCAGCTTGAACTATCAGCTGCAAAGCCATGAAATTTTGTACAGGGACTATTGACGACATGGGGAAAAGGAATCCCTGGGAAAAATGTGGTGCTTTACACTTTAAGATAATGTGACTTTTTCCTGTGGGGCTATTTTAAGTCTAAGGTTTATCTTGGTGGACAGTTTTAAAGGAAAACATAACACAAGCTGTGATGAACATACCTTCTGAAATGTTCCATTCAGTTGTAGAGAATATGGTAAACAGAATGCAATGCTTAGTCCAAGAAAATGGAGGTCATGTAAAAAATAGCCGGTGTCTTTCCTGGAAAAGCAATTATACTGAATAAAAACAAAAGAACAAAGAATAAAAAGGAAGTCGAATAGAATGTTCTCTCTTTTTTTTTTTAAATTTGTAACTATTTACAAAATTATATTTTAGAATAAAGCACATTTGTGAAAAAATTAATTCTTTGTTATTCATATACAGTCAAAAGTCGTTAATCCGGACTCGTCGGGACTTCGACAATTCCGGATTATCGATTTTTCCGGATTATCGATTTTTCCGGATTATAGATCATCAGTTTAAATCTGGTAAGATGGCATGCAGAAATTACAAAATTAAAAATGTGAAACCGTAATTTATGAAATAAAGAAAAATTATGATCTAAAGGGTATCAAAATTTACAAAAAGAAAAAGCTTAATATTTATTTGTGTACTTTATTAAACATTTCTTTCAATGTAAGTTGTTTAAGTTGCTTCGTTTCATGTGATAATACTTTCTCTTTAATTCTATTAAACAGACATAATTTCTTTAGTTACAAAGTTCCGCTGTTCAAGTCCTATAATTGCTGTGTCGAGAATACCGACTAATTTGTCAATCGAAATTTTTTCGGTTTCAATAACCTCTGTGTCACTTTCTTCACTATCAGAAGCAAATTATAACGACGAGCAACTTGTTTTAAATCATATCAAAGACGGAGTACATCGAGATGAAATACTACATTTAGTAAGGAATTATAAGCCAAATAAAATAAAAACATCTGCCCTGAAGATAAGGATAGTGCTGACAGATCAATTTTCAATTCATTGCGTGCCGCAGCGCTCCCCCCGCCAAGGGCAGTGTGAAATTGATAAACAGATTTCGGATTTCAAAACATACTTTCGCTTTAGATCGTTTACATATTAGCAAATATATATCGGAAATTCTATTTGATATAATCGAAAGTTCAAGCTCACTTTTATAAAATTGCTCCAACAGTATGCAAAAAATAATAAGCCGGATCCATTTCAAAGATTAAGGAATAACGCAATCTGCAACATTAACTGAATTAGATAATTTTAGCTTAGCGTATACAGTCCGTTATTCATTAAACGCGCATGCATTAACATTTTATGCGCATGCGTACATGCATATTCGCAGCCGTAAAGGTCTTGCGCGCACACGTAAACGCCTATGCGCATGCGTCAACGCAACGCCTATGCAGGAAGTTTGTAGCTTTGATATCCGGATTATAGATCATTCTGGATTATGGGTGTCCGAATTAATAACTTTTGACTGTATCTGTTTACTATAGCTTTTTAAAGTGGTCAGAAAATTTTTCGTGTAGTTAAAATTAAAATCAAAAGTGCCATATTCCTTTCTTTGGGCAACTTTTAGAACTAAATTTTTTTTCGCTGATTCCTGTTTCCCATGGCGTCACTAGTCTCCGTACAAAATTTCGTAGCTTTGCATCTGATAGTTCAAGCTTCTCTGAGTGCCATCTGATATTTCAAGCTTATCTGAGTACCACTAATTTAAAAAAAAAATCTGATGTGTACACCACATGACTTCCTTGCACGGAATATTTAATTATATGCATTTTTTCTTGCTTTTAATTGGGGCCCACCAGCGGCCGAGCGGTAAAGTCGCTGAACACTGGTAGTTTCGATCCGAGGTTCGAATCCCGCGAACGGACTGGCTGCATGGGCATTTTCGTGGTTTTCCCCATGTGTAACGTGTGTACGAGCCAGTTTCCCTTAGAAAGTCCTCCACGAAGGCATCCCTCCCCTTAGGCAGATAGCCCTCGAGGCTTTGCCATAATCACACACACACACACACTCTTGCATTTAATTTAAACTTATTGGATTGAATTAAATCTACATCGTCAATAGTGCATAAACCACAATAGAATAAATGCACTTTTTAAAATTTGCTATATTAGTTTACCATAGTGACACTCTAGGCGCTAGGTTCACTTAACAGCGTTACATTTCGTCCATGTTATATAACTCAGAATGCATATAAATTTATATTATTTGAAGAATTATCTAATCGTTGCCACATGTTCTATTTAAATACTATAATAAATCTAAAACAATGCGTAAAAGAAATTAAGCAAACAAAACAGAAAAGAAACAGCTTTTCACTGACCGATTCAGTATTTCTCATTCAATTAATTCAGTTCTCACTTCCTGACAAAAATTACCAAATTAATCTGAAACACTTTATTTCCTCAACTAAGTTCCAGAATGGATTAAACATGATTTAATTCGCAATAATAAAAGAAGGTGTTATCTTTGTTGTTGTGAAGCTTAGTTTCTCTACATTGGCGACAAATCCTCTATTTTGCCAAGTTTGAAATGTAAACAAACATGTCCACGTCGCAAAGTAGAAGAACTTTTAAATTGTTGATAACTCCACAAATATTACATGCAGATTTACTGAAGGCATAAAAACAAAACCTTAACCAGAAGATAAGAACAACCTAATTCAATCATTTTTAAAGCAAAAAATGCACAATAATAATAAAGAAACTGAGCTCACTGAGCTGAGCAACAGAGTGGGTATACATATATTTATATACTTTTGGTACGGCCGATTGCAACCAAAATATGAGGTGCACAGCTACATGTTGCAGCAGTCATACATACAAAATTTCAACGTTCTGAAGCTAGTCGTTTTTGTGTTATGCGAGGTACGTACATACGTACGCACAGATGCCATTGAATATTCTCTTCAGAATTCATTTTAAATTAGTTTTATAATTTTTTGGGGTAAAGAGTCTTTTATTCTGTCCTTACTTGTGGATGTCATGCAAAAACATCATTAAATTGCATTGGATAGCAGGGAAAATGGATATTTTCGTTGAAATATGATGCCCGAAACTGCTTTTGCGATTACAATACTTCCTTTGTACAAGGAAGTAAAAAGCACTCTGTGTATTGCATTAAGATAATTTTATGTATTGTTGTAACTGTGTGTTTATCTGTTATTTATTTATTTATTTTTTTTGCAAAATGAAACTTTTGTAATTTGCGTATTATGAAAACTATAGAAAACACTTTTATCTTTTTTTTTTTTTTTTTGTTCATTCATATTATATGACAAATGAAATTTTCCTTTTAGGATGTGTTTCTTAAATCCTTTGCTGAACTGTGTGATTTGCGTTCTAAGTATTACGAGAAACAGGTGAGTTATTCTAAGTTTTTCATGAAACATTTAAATACTCAGAATGCTCTTAGTGTATTTAAATACTCTTATTGCTGTATGTTTTTCAGTCCTGTCCCCTTTATTTGATATTTTTCAGGCTGAAATAATTTTAGGTATTAAATTTTATTGCCTCTTAACCCTTTGGGCTATAATCACAAGTCCAACTCGTGGTAAAGAATTTGTGCCATAAACAAAAGCCACGAGTCTGACTCGTTGTCAAGAATTCGTGTCATAAACAAAAGCCACGAGTCTGATTCGTGGTGAGCAATTTGTGCATAAAATGCTGCGTATTACAAGGTTTGGCTATTAATTTCCAGGACTGACATAACTGTAAGAGAATGAAAAGTAGGAAGATGTAGTTAATGATTGCATATTGAAGAGCGTTTTCCTGCGCATGTGCAGTGCAATTGGCACCGTTCTGAAGTAAGTGGTTCTCGTGGAAAGGCGCATTAAAATGTAACTCTTAAATTCTTGTAGTCGAAGTGAATATGGAACAAAGAATTAACATTTAATTTTGCTTCAAATTGGGCAAGACAGCTGCAGAAACCTACGAAATGTTAAAACAAGTTTACGGCGAGGAAGCATTATCCCGCTCAAGAACTTTTGAATGGTTTAAACGCTTTTGGGACGGGCGCGAAAGCGTCGAAGATGATCCACATACAGGTCGGCCGCAGTCCTTACGCACGCCGGAAGCAGTCGAAAAATTTCATGATATGATGAAATGTGATTGTCGATTGATTATTCGAGTACTCGCTAATGAATTCAACATGGACAAAGAGATGGTTCGGCGAATTTTGATGCAAGACCTAGGCAAATGCAAGTTTTGTACCAGATTCGTTCCTCACCATTTAAGGTACAAGCAAAAGAATTGAGACTGGATGCATGTGGCAAACTTATCAACAATGCTGATGCTGACTGACCCTGCATTCCTGGATAGGATAGTCACGGGAGACGAGTCTTGGTGTTATCAATATGACCCTAAAACCAAGCGTCAAAGCTTCGAATGACTGTCTCCAAGTTCACGAAGGCAGAAAAAATTTCGATTCGAAAAGTCAAAACTCAAAGTCATGTTAATCACTTTCTTCGATTGCGATGGACTCATTCATCATGAATTTCCTTCTCCTAACATGACTATCAATGGTCAGTTCTACACAGAAGTTCTTGACCGACTTCGAAAACGAATTCATAGAGTGATGCCTCATTTTCAACAAAATGGGAGTTGGCTGCTGCTACATGACAATGCCCGCCCACACATTGTGTTGCCTGTGAGGTAATTCTTAGCCCAGCATGGTGTCATTGAAATGCAGCATCCACCATACTCTCCAGACCTAGCAGCCGCAGACTTTTTCCTGTTTCCTAAGCTGAAAAATTCGCTGAAGGGAACAAGATTTCAGGATGTCGAAGCCATCAAGAAAACTCTTAACGTCACTATTAAAGAGCATTCCAAAAGAGGACTTTAAAACTTCTTTCCAAAATTTGTACAGCCGAGCACAGACGTGCATTACGATTGATGGGGATTACTTTAAATCATATTAAATAGCTATGTGTTTAATCTTTTTTTCTTCTGAGTTATTCCACGAGTCCTGTAAATTAATAGCCGGACCTTGTATTATTATTAGAACAAGCAATTGGGCTTCTTCTACATCAAAAATTTCTTCCTTTGATTATAACGTCAGTATTTTTTTTTTTTTTCCAGTTATTTCTGACGAAACTGTATGATCTGTTACTTTAGTTCCCCGTAAAGCTTTGTTAAGTTCACGTTTCAAATATAATTTCGTATAAAGAATTAAAAAATCTCTTATTACTATCATGCCAAACTCTTATACCCATCATACTCATCATGCAATTATATTTGTCAACTGATCAATTGATTATGATTACACTCTAGATGTCTTAAAATTACTATTTGTACCTAAACATTGTTTATTATTTCACAGTTCCTTTCGTTACACTGAAATGTATATGCCATGAAAAGTATACATTTTGCGCCAGTTCCAGTACAAGGCTGAACAGTTGAATGGCATGACGTGCGACCGAGTTTCTTGTTTGCTATAGTTCGTACAATTGGCAGATATCGTGTAGGCCAAGGGGTTACCGTATTTGATGGCATATAAGACACACCCTTATTTAGACGGCCACACACAAGGAAAAAAAGTTTCAATAGCGTGGTTTCTTTTAGTTCTCATGTTTCGTAAATGCCAAATAAACAATTATTGAATGCAATTACCTTCACGTATAAGACTGTGTCCTTCACGTATAAGATGCAGGTAACTTTTTTGAGACCAAATTTAGGAAAAAAAGTGCGTCTTATATGCCGTCAAATACGGTAATTGTGTCGGAGATTCATCAATGCCATTTTGACACTGAAGCATGTTTCTTATTTTATAATAGAAATGAGTTTTTTTTTTTTTTTTTTTTTTTTTTTTTTTTTTTTTTTTTTCAGATCAATTAGAAAGGATCATTTGATGTTGTATTTTTGCAGGTTAACTTAAAATATAATGAACATAGGGACTGCTGTTCAAAGATTGGAAAGTGTTATTGGAAAATTACCAGTACATCATCTGTGCATACAAAATTTAAGTATTTTTGCACGTGAATGAAAACAACAACAACCAATTGAAAAGTCTGCACACTTAGGAAAATTGCCTTTCCCAAATTAGGTTACCAGTTGGGTTAAAAATTTTTAAGTTTTAAATTAATTTGATTCTATGCTCTTTACCCATTAAATTAGAAATGATTTTTTAAAGCTTTAGACAAAAAGGTTGGCCATTTTTAACCTACTTTTTCTTTCAAGTTTTATTGATTGCATTTGATGTTAAAATCTGTAAAGGAATTTTTGCTGATTATCAGGTTTGAAAGCTGATGTAAGATCTGATGTAATCTGTGTCAGCATTGAATAGCTATGTTGAAGAGGTACCCTGGATAAGTGTGAAAAAAAGAAGGGAATTTTTTTTAAGGAACCAAATATGATCCAAATCTACAAGCATTTTCAGAAGGTTCATTAGAAACTTTAAGATTACTTAGTTGCAACACAAGTGTTATGTTGTATTTTTTCCTTTTAGGTGTAGATTATTTTCCAGAAGGCAGTTCTAAGTAACCAAGTGAAAAAGTTAGAATTAATTATCATAAGTAATTATAAGTAAGCTATAATGAGTATTACAGTATAGTAATTATCCTTATCACTAGTTATTATAAGTAAGGCGAATAAAAACATGATGACAGATTATTGTTGAATCTTAAAAAGAGATGTAAATCAAATCAAAGGGCATTCAGATTTTAAATAAAACAGCAGAAAGAGAATTTTTTGCTACACTTAAATGGGAATATTAAAATTTCCATCTAAGTTCTGAAGGTTGGCACTTGCATTTTTTTTATCTATAACATTTTCTAATTAAATTGCTTTTTATATCATAATGTACACAAAAAAAAAAAAAAAAAAGAGTTGGGGTACAGTTCTATATCTCCCGTTCTATTGGGCCGATTGAAAAAATTCAAATTGTGTTTTTAATGTCTTAAAGTGCAACTTAAGACATATATTAAATTTATATATAGCATCGTTCTAACATAGGTATTTTGACATAAAATCGGACATTTTCTGAAATAACATACCAATTTTTTTTCCATATTTCTATTCTACGACTCAAATTATGCCTAGATATTAAATTTTGTAAAATTTGGTACAAAATTTCTGGAAAAATTAAAAAATTTCTCTTGGTGCAATTTTTTCAGTTTGCACCAAGAATAATGCCCTTGGTGAACATCTTAATGTATGGCAACCCAATTTACTTTCCCTTTCATTATTCCGGAGCAGAAAACAAGGCACCTGTTTTTCTATCTTTTTACATTGTGCATGAGCGGGAAAAAAGTCACATTGTTTCTACTTCCAAATAATTTTAGAAAAGTGTCTAAACCACATTTGATGTTTTATTGCTTTCAACAAACATGCCAAATTTAAAAACACGGCAATATATAAATTCACATATATCATCGGAAATTTTGAATAAAAAACTAATTTTTGCACGCATGCTTAGAAATACGTCTACTTTAAGATGATGGTAAAAATTTTATAGATTATAATCCAAATATTTTTTGAAAAATTTAAAAATTATTTAAAAATACAATTTAAAAATAAATAATAAAATTGGTGAATTTTATTTGGAATGAACCTGAATTTCGAAAATGTGGAAGGAAGAATCAATTAAATTTAAAAAAAAAAAAAAGAGTAAAGATATATTCCAAACTCAATTAATTGAGGAGCTAAGTTTTGAGAGCTAATTTTCTATAGTGTGATTTTTATGAAATTTGGTAGTTTGGTTGTAATTTGAGTCCGTAGAATGGAAAATATATTTAAAATATTTTAAAAATTAAAATTTCTGAAGAATATAAATTTTAGAATATCTAGTTAAATATTAATATATTTTACATCAAAACTGAGTTAAAAATAGTTCAGTAACATGAACCATGCATTATAAAGAAAATTAAAATCGCTTTGGAGTTGCTTAGAGATGGTGTTGACAGTTGATTTCAAGGATCAGAAGATTTCAAGTTTGGCTGCTATTCACAAAGTATTGTATCTAGAAATACATATTGTAAAGTGAACTACAGGGTGTTCATAATTAAACTTGAAATTTGTAAGCAGTCCGTAGCAAAAACTATACAGTGGAATTGCATGAAAATAGGGTAATGGCAGAAAGAAATTTTATTGAGGGGGGGGGAGTTTTAAAAACCACTCCTAGGTGGCGCATCATAGCTTTATTGAGAACATATAAATAATCTACAAAAGTTTACAGAACATGCTCGGTGTCCACCATTGTCTGCTACTATCTGGAAGCGTAAAATGGCATGTTCAATTGTTGAAATTGGCATGAAATGGGCACATAGTGTTTTATGCTTTCTCTGAGGTTGGGTATAGATGTGGTTGGATTAAGGCCTTGAGGTATCCCCACAGCCAAAAGTCACAAGGATTCAAGTTGGAGGAT